CTCGGCCGCGCGGGCCCGCCGGAGGGTGGAGGGGCCGGCCCCGGGCCTACCGCCCCCCGCCTCCCCCGCCGGGTCCTTCATCGTGGTGGAGAGGTGGGCATTCGCGCCGTTGGACGGGAATGGATGAGGGAAAAGGTCGGCTCTATGAAAAGAACCGTCCGAAATGTCGTTAAAATTCGTTCGTTCGGAGTCGCACGTTGGTTCGAAATCCGATTTCATCGATTGCCCTTGTTGAGCTAAACGTTGTGAATTAAAATAGCAGAATACAGACTCAAGTAGAATGATTAAAAGACACAAACTAATCAAACGGGTAAGCAAACGATTAAAAAATAAAGAAGTCGAATATGTATATATAGATGTCTTGGAAAAAAGGAAATTAGCCCTACGTGACTGGAAAACCCTAAAAGCCTCTCAAAAATAAATATGAGAAACAAAACTACGTCCAAGGTCCATGTTCGGTGTTTTGAAGAAAAATGAATTAGTAAAGTTCCTGACCAAACCACTTCAACGATGAAAATCTGCCTGCATTCATTTTTTCTTTTTCTTTTTTAACCTCCAAGGGTGAAATTGGAAGTACATCTACATCAAACTATTGGCCATTTTACACAAACACGTTAAGGTGCTCTAGAGGGCCCAGGACTGATAAGTAGGAAGCAGCCCCAGGCGCGTACATTTTCAAAGGAGGGGTTCTTGCGCACAGGACCGCCCCCTCACTCCACAAACCTTATACTTCACCAAAAAAAAAAAATTCACCTGTCAGTCCTTATCACGTGTTTGGTCGCTCTCAAGACCTCCCTCCTCCCCCTCATAAAACTCACCCCTCCTCAACCAACGCGTCGACGACTCTGCGGCATTGGGAATATTGAATTCTACCCTTGTGTTCTTCCAAAGGGTCAAACCCACACCCCTCCTCTAAATAACCCCCCCCCCTCCAACTCGCCCCTAAACTCAGAACAAACCCAACCCCAACACCCCCCCCCTGCCAAAGCCGTTTTCTACGTATTGTAGAGCTGATTGCGCTGGATAATCGCCGCGAAGCCGTTCATCCACAGGTCCTGATCCTCCTGGCTGAGAAAACTCAGCCCGAGGGTTTTCGCGTGGAAGATCAGGACGGCGCAGCGCTCGGGCGGGATCGGCCGCCCCCCGTGGTCGACGGGGCGCCCGCCCTTCCGCTTAAAAAGCCCCGGCGCGAGGTCGACGCCGCGGCGGGCCGTCTGCAGGTGGATCAAATTCAGCGCGTGGGCCTCCTGCGCGTCGTCCTTGAGGAGGTCCGCCGCGCGGAAGTCGCGGTTCTGCGGGCGCCACGTGAGGTGGGGCATCCGCAGCGGCTGCTCGCGAAACCGCGTCAGGCGGTCCTGCACGCAGAAAAAGCGAAGATGCGGGGCCCGAAAGGACGAGAAATGCTTGAGCAAATACCCCCCGCCCCGCAGGGCCCGCATGACGTCGT